CAAGAAAGCTCACCAGCAAAAGGCGGATGTGGACAGAATCTATTTACCCATAGCAATGGGTGGCAGGGGATTAATTAATTTAGAAAATTTGTATAAAGCTCATATTTTGAAATATAAACAATATTTAGAACATAAAAATGATTACCTAATAGAAGCAATAGTACAGCACGATCAGAACAGAGGAAAATATTCAATTTACAAAGAAGCAGAAGAAATAGAAAAAGAACTGAGGTTAGCGCCGGGCAATGATCACACCAAAATAGAAATTAAAAATAGCATAATAAAGAAGCAGAATGAAGCCTGGCGTAACAAGAACCTGCATGGGCAATTCCCTAAAAAGGTCCTCGACCTTGCCAATGTGGATAAAGAGCTTACCTTTAAATGGCTGAAGAAACAACCTATTTCGCCAACATTGGAATCGTCTCTATTTGCTATACAAGATCAGGCAGTGCTAACGCGCCAGCACGAACGCGACATATTGAAGAGGAATACAGATGGCAAATGCCGCTTGTGCGCAAATAAAGACGAAACCGTTCAACATCTTCTAGCAGGATGTGAAAAACTCGCCGGGACATATTTTGTAAAGAGACACAATAACTTAGTTCAATATGTTTTCTGGTGTTTGGCTAAGAAGAACAAAATCGAAGTCAACAAGTTATGGTGGAAGGAAGAACTCAAACAACCGACTTTAAAAGAAAATAGTACAGCTAAATTAATATGGGAAATCCCTGTGCAAACTGACGTTACAATCACTCACAACAGACCTGACCTTATTTACATAGATAAACAAAACAACCATACTTACCTTATTGATATCTCGGTGCCGTCTGACTATAACATTGGAGCTAAGGAAATAGAAAAAATTAGCAAATATCACCCGCTAAAAGTCGAACTCTCCAGGTTATGGAACACCACCGTCACAACCATCCCGATTGTAGTAGGAGCCACTGGTGCAGTGACGAAGAGCCTTAAGCGATATTGTGACAAATTAGATGCAAACAATAACATCCACATACTACAAAAACAAGCAGCATTACACTCTTCCACCATAATTAGTAAAGTACTTGGAGATACCGTCTTCGTAACACAATCATCGCAAGCACATCAACAACACACAGCGCAATCAAACACACAATCAACGTCCACATACCATTCATCCACATCTCAATCAACGACACAACCATCATCCGATCAGCACCCATTTGCAAGTCTTTCATCCATTTCTGACTCTCATACTTAAGAATCGGCCGGTCCATCACAACCTTACTTTCAACATTAGCTTCATATTTTAAATGGGGGGATAGAACAGAATCAATTATACTAGGTATCCTTTTTCCTGAGGGTCTCGGGACGGGATATCTAGATAAACCGACAGAGTCGTGAAAAAGTCGAGAAAAAATAATTAATATAATATAATATAATATAATATAATATAATATAATATAATATAATATAATATAATATAATATAATATAATATAATATAATATAATATAATATAATATAATATAATATAATATATATATATATATATAAGTATATATATATATATATATATATATATATATATATATATATAGTCTAGCCTTCCTCGATAAATGGACTAATGCAAAAGGAATTTTTAAAATCGCATTAGTAGTTCCTGAGATTAGCGCGTTCAAATAAACAAACTCTGCCTCTTTATATAGATTCGTATTATATTTTACTTACATACAAATTTATTTTACAAAGTGATTTAGTTGCTTTTAAGAAATAGAATTAACTTGATGTTTTAATATCATTATCAATAAATACTTATTATTATTACTATTATATTAAGCTTGATTTCGTCCACTCCAAGACGTAGGGTTATAGGAAAGACCTATTGAGATGTTTCATAAAAAGTTCTACATTAGTTAAAAAAAATATTAAAATATAGCTCTCTAAAGTGCCTTTAAATTAACAGATTAAAACAATAAATTAAACCTCCGTAGAGATATCAACAGCTTATCAACACACTTTGGTAAGATTGTCACTTGAGACACGCATGTCGATGGGTGACCGTATAGCATTACATGGCGTTTGAGCACGTACAGCCGTCGCATCAGTCCTGTGTCTTAACTGTTACAGGTCAGTTCGATATAACATCTTACCGGACTTTGACAGAAAAGAGAAGATCTATTCCTCTATGCACTGTTGTCTGTCTGCACGTACACTTGTGCACTATAATATCTCCTGCCCAGTTGGCTAATCTAAGTGAGATTCGCCACCGTGGCCAGAATCAGTCAGGACATCATCACTATCCTAATTATTAGTTTATCTAGACTAAGTCTACTAGTCTACCTATTTTTATATTATGCGGGCTATGTCACGGTTAAAACGAATGCAAACAAGTTAATTTTAATTTACCTACCTATATCTATACATATAATAAAACTAGCATTTGCCGCGGCTCCGCCCGCGTTAAGATGACCGAAAAACAAATTCTTAGGTTTTACATATTCGTATATCATACATTGCAGTTTTTGTATTTTTTCTCAATAATGAGATATTTTCCCGGGGTAAAAAGTATTCCATATGTTGACCCGGATAACCAGTTATCACCATACCAAATTTCATCAAAATCCCTCCAGTGGTTTTTCCGTGATGCGGTTACAGGCAGACAGACAGGCAGGATAGCTGATTATAGGATACTTTTTACAGCGGGAAAATATCTCATTTCTCAGAAAAAATACAAATACTGCAATGTAAGAGTATAATAATATGTAAAACTTAAGAATTTGATTTTGGTCATCTGAACGCGGACAATGCTAGTATAATAATACAGATAACGTTACCACTAGTGTAATCTTAATACATTTTTCCTATTTATCATTTCTCATTTAAGTATTAAATGTCGTGACCTTTGAACCACCGGATCAAAAGAAATCGGCATAAAGCACATTTCAACACGCCAGTAATTATACGTTTTAGAGATAAAACTGTACTAGATAGATGAAAAGCTCTTTACACTTTAGAAATATATAAAAGTTTTTGATATCATTAAAATATATCACACTAATACTATAAATGCGAAAGTTTGTTAGTGAGCGATTGTTGCTTCTACTTGATTCACTGTCTCTTTCCCTCTTAATGTTTTTTTTTAAATGTTATTTGATATATTGAATAAATTGTGCAATCAAACATTAGTGTTTTAGTTTCATTGCTTTTTCGTGGATTTCCGTTGGGATAGGCTTTATGTCCTCTTCGAATCACGGGGAAAAACATTGCCAACTTCCCAACTCTGCCACTGGGACTTTTTTAAACAGAAAGACTCAATAACTATACTTGGCCGTATCCAGGACTCGAACTGACACCCTCCGGATATATAGGCGCACATGCTAGCCAGTACACCACTGAGGTAGTATACTTAACTGAGGGATGTATAGCTTTCTTTTACTAAACGGATTTTTAGAAGATAATAGCGTAAATTAAAAATATATATTTTTAAATTTTATATACGTAGTTTAAAAAAAATAAGGTTTTATAAGTTAGCATCTTTTATTAGTCTAGTGTCAAACGAAACATCAATATTTAAAGCAGCTCACGAGCGGCATCGATACGAGGTGGCGAAATGGAATTCGAAAAAACACCTTGTATTCTCAAAAATACCAATTTTCAAACTTTCAAATTCTTTTTACTTATGTTCTCTTTTTGAGTACAAAGTAAAGTTATTTTTGAAGTGAAAAGTGCCTCTGTCGTTTGTTACCTTTTCAAGTTTAAATTGCTGAACAGATTTCGATGAAATTTGGATGAAACAGACATACATTATAGTATAATGGGTGATGATAAGAATAAAATAGCGGAGATAAGAACCCTTTTATCCCTGCTCCGCTTTGGCAGCCAATTATTTTATATATATATATATATATATATATATATATATATATAATATATATATATATATATATATATATATATATATATATATTATAGGCAGAGTTTCTTTGTTTGTTTTTTGAGGAAGGCTATATATAGGCTATATCATCATGATACTACCCAAGGGAGGGGAACAGTAATATAATATAGTCTATCTATTCCATACTAACCATTTAAACGTACCTAGGGACAAACCCGAGCGAAGTCAATATATATGATTTAAAACAAAATCTAATTGTAACATTAGTGAGCAAAATATGATTTACAGTTTATAGTTAATTTTTGGATATATTTTTGCAGATTTTTATAACATTTTTTTAAGTAAAATGGATTTAAGTTAACACAATGGGTTTTGTAATGTTGTTACCAAGTTAAATTATGTGTTAAATTTATCAAGATTAGTAATAAAATGAACATGTTATTATGTTAAGTTATTTATCTCGATATATTATGCGAGCAGAGTTTAGGAGAAACATCCATTTTAATCAATCTATACTAATATTATAAAAAGACAGTTTGTTTGTTTGTTTGTTTGTTTGTTCGTTCGTTCGTTTATTGTGGTTTGTTTGTTTTTTGTTTAAACGTGCTAAAGTCAGAAACTACTAATCCGATTTGAAAAATTCTTTTTGTATTAGATAGCCCGTTTATTGAGGAATGCTATAGGCCATATATTATAATATATAGTCTGCTTAATCCATACTAAACGTTAAAACGTACCTCTATATAAATAATACAACGCGGACGCTACAATAATTATTTAGAAAATAAAAGATGGACTATATTTTTAATTGCGTATTTAATTGTTTTATTATTTACTACATACAATAAATAATAACAAAAATTCCGTAAAATATATATAACTTCAAATTTTCATTTTTTTTACATAACACTAGATCATTATAGATAAGATTTTTGGGAATAAGCTGTATATCCTTCCGTAAAAAATTAGAACTATTATAAACAACTTCAAACAATGTAGCTGATTTCATATTAAATATAAATGTATGTAGGTACGTATATAATTTTTAAATTATTATTAACATAAATTACCAGTTCGTATAAATACATGCATTTAAATCTAATAGTATTCAATTTTCAAATTTAAAAACTTAAATTCATAGCATCGTCTTGATTCATAGATAGTTCTTTTAAAAGAGACTGTTGTTCTGCAGAATTAAAAGTTCTTAAACTTGAAACACCATAAGATCGGCTCCTATGTAAAGGCGGTCGACCTCTGATTCTTCCTTCATATTTGTGACGTTTGTGGTTTAAAGGGCTCAAGTCTGAATCTGACATATCATCGACCTTCCGCTTTGAAGATGAAGATGAAGTGGAATTAAAAGTCCTTTCTTCTATACTTGATCTATGAGGTGTATCTGAAAGTACGTACTTTATAGTAATAACAGCTAAAATTAAATAAATAATATTGCTATATTTAATTATAATACTTATTAAAAATTTTAAAATGTTTGGAATTAAAATCAACAAATAAGTAATTTGGTGTCATTTTTTGAATTTTTGAAATCGTTTTTGTAAAATTGTGGATAGGCACTGTCTGTAACAAGTATATATCGCCTTCGAGACGTCTATAACCTTAGTCTCTCCCGTGACCATGATTGCTGTAAAGCATTCGAAACGTCGCGTCGGGAACCAAAAATCAAAATAAATCTGCGAAATAATCCGAAAGGATAGTTTTATTTATTATGTATGTATGTATATAAAATATTAATACTAAATTTGTATATATTGTCTTTATATAAGCAATAATAAAAACGTAATATGTATAAAATTTAGATAAAACTGTATAGCAATAAACGTTTTCTGTTTTATTATTATGTTTATTTATGTAATATTATGTTTATTTTAAATTAGTTTGATCAGGTCAATGACTATAACAAAATATTTTGTAGCGATATATAAATTAGACCGGTTTTCACAACATAAAAAAAATATTTTTTATAAAAAAGTTTCTATTGGTTATAAAAGGAAGAAATGCTAGCAGAAAATTCAACATATTATTCTTCAAGCAACACATTTAAAACAAAAAGCTCTCTTTGAGACAATCACGTAAACACATCATCGTAAAAGGCTGCATTTGACGTTTACTGCACCACAAAGAGCAAATTACAAACATCCACTAGTGTTTTATGACAATAGAGACAAAAATTCTTATTTCTGCAAAGCATTATCATCTCTATTTCTTATATTTTTAGGAATTATTTTGGTATCACATTAGTGAACATATATGGTGGCTAGTTTCTACTAAACTGAGTACGTGCCAAAGTGCGATGCCTAATTTATGTAGTACGTGATATGATATTGTACATTTTGTTTGATGTTTATTTTGGAGACTAGGGAAAAGTTTTGGTAGCACTGTTCTTAAATTTATAATAGCAAAAGGCTATTAAATGAACTACAAACTTACATCATTACGTCTTTACTTTTTTATATATATTTGTAAAGAGAGTATAATTTTATAATATAATCATCTGAGCAGTTTAAATTGTCTTTAGTCTTTTAGTTTATAGGTTAAATCGAGATTAGAGAAGCTTTACTCGGGTGCATCACTAGGAGCGTTTTGGTATTCAGTCCTTTTTTAATGTCCCACTGCAGGGCATGGGCCTCCCTTTAAGGGAAGGGGTATCAGTCGTAGTCCACCACGCTGGCTAAGTGCGGACTTGGTGGACTTCACATGTCTTTCGAAAACGCTATTTGCATTATAATACTAATAGGCTGGAGACCTTTTGGCAAATTTTGTTACGTTATTTATGTGATTCCCCAGTTCAGTCCGTTAGTTCCCAGGTCAGTCTATATACATATATTACATTTCATCTAAATCTGTCCAGCCGTTTAAGCGTGAAAAAGTGATAAACATACACACACGGGTACAAACTTTTGTTTTTATAACAGTAACTAGTCTGATTAATTTACTATTTATGACATGATAATTATAATTAAATATGTACCGCCTGTATGTTTGTATTTACGAGTACTATTAAGATGTGTCTTGTTTTCTCAAATACTTAAGTGAATTGTATTCTTTCTTTGAGAAATATGTGAATAATTTTACAATAGAATTGACTAAATTAGTCTTCGAATTAATATTTTTTATTCTTTTAAATATAACATTTGAATGAATCTAAAACACCATTATATTAATATTAATGGAAAATTCAATGGAAAATTACATTTGGAAAGTCAAGAAGAATCAAAAGCATTTAAAATATTCATATTGAAGAGTAATGAATAAAACATCCTTATAGATTCCTACGAATATAAGGGTGTCATCGCAAACAAAACGCAATACGCCAAGAGATTCAAGATCACGTTCCATCTTCTCACTGAATTGAAAACAATTATAGTCATTTTAATATTAAATTTCGACTTTGTAAGGAAAAACGATTTAAATATACCTGTTAAAGAATATATGCTAGGAGCAAAATTATTAATCGTATAATCTGGATTAAGGAAAAAGTTCAAATTCACAGTGGAATCTCCACAGATCAAATATTGTAATTTTTCTGTACCACCATCTCATAATATTTCATTTTCTAAATTGTAATTCTTCAATACCCAGTGCAACTAAACCCCTAAAAGTTAATCTTTAGGGGTTCGAACCACGTGTAATATATTTGTGGTATTGGGGAGAAAAATGATAAGTACAAAAACTCATTTTTTCAATATGACACTTTAAAGATTGGATTAAATTGAGACTGATATTGTGACGTATTTAAACAATTTAAGAAAATATAACAATTGTATTTTCTTCAAATTAGAGTTCCAGAGCTAGACTTAAATAAAATTGGAAAATATTAATGTCATTGTAGTAGGTACCTGACTAAAATTCAACCAATTTTATTTTTTATTTTTTAATCTATTTTTATTTAGGGACTTCTTAGCAACAGAGCTAAATGTCAGTTCCCTTAAGACATGTATACCACTAACAATACTAGTACCTCTAATTATAACTTATTTTAACTTAAATTGATATACAGTTTTGGCTATCTCTGAGTTAGGCTTAGACAGTGCGCTTTGAAAAACTCCCACATCATTCCAGCAAACGTTAAAACGGCGCATCAACTCCTGTCTCCTATCCGCGTTACGAACACATTCCACTAAGAAATGATGCACATCTTCCTCTACACCGCATGACCAAATTTGAGTTATCATGTTTTCCTCGACAACACAGATATGGATTTAAACTTAAGTCATGGACTATTAATTACTTGAAATCGCGATCGAGATTTGTATTTGCCAAGACATACACAATATCAACAGCCAGTTGTAAGTTTAATAACCATCAAAAAGTAAGTGTTTAAGTACATACTTTATTTTTCATTACAAAAACCATGATTATGCTCTAAATATTAATGTCTATATGGACAATATGTTTCATTGAAGATGATTTTTGGTTTATATAAAAAATATTACCCATATCGTATTTTTTAACCTATTTAAAAAAGAAGGTGTAGGATTCGGTTATACAAACATATTTTTATATATATATGAAGATGATATATATATATATATTCGCTTGCTTGTGAAATGGTTTTTAAGTTTTTTTTAATAAACTGGTGTTCCTTCATTGTTTAATCATACCACAAGTTATGACATACATTAAATAAATATAATTAGTGATTATGAAGTCAGTGTACCTTTTTTACTTAAAACCAATTTTGATTAATTTTTCAAGACAAATATATTATGCAGGGTAAATAACATATCGATTAATCAAAATATAGAATCTGCTACCTCTGATGAAATAGCTAGTTGTAAAATGTCACTGAGGTACATTCGTAACTCGATACATTAATGGGATCCATACAAAGTTATTTTTACTGTTAACATTTTTATATTCAACAAAAGAAACTACATACGAATAACTTGAGTGTTGTCTGAATAGATTTCGATCCTTCCTGTAGTTTCCATATCACGTTTGAATTTTAATGTAACTCTCAGCAAGTTTTATTGTTGTAAAATATTTTTCCACTCCAATAGAATACAATACATATTATTAAAAACAAAAGGCGCACTTTGAAAATTGAAAAGTAAATATTCTCCTAAATTTTTGTTATCTAATACCTTTAAACGAGCAATTCTTATATATTTATTTATACCGGCGATCTTGGAAACGGCTCTAACGATTTCGCTGAAATTTGTTATGTGGGGGTTTTCAGGGGCAAAATATCGATCAAGATTAGTCTTATGTCTGGGAAAACGCGTGTTTTCGAGTTTTCACGCAAATTTCTTTCGCATAATTCCACGCAAAATATGGTCTATAATTCGCAGACTCGGGCATATGCATCGTGGTCAAGCGGCCAAGGTGCAAGATTGATAATCATAGGTGTCCGGGTTTGAAGCGCGGTTTTGTTTTTTTTTGTATTTATGCAAGTTTTTAGTTTTGTTAAAAAAAAATGTACTTTTGCCCAAAATCTCCGAGCGAAGCTCGGTCGCCCAGGTACTGGCGGTAATGTGTAATACTATTTTGAAACATTTACAATATTTTATTTTCCCTTTTTTGAATCCAGAAAAAAAACTAATACTCTCATAAAATAAAATAAATTATGATGAAAAAAGGAAATAAAAATATTTTCGCGACAAATAAAAAATAAATATGTACCTTTATTACTCCAAAACATATTTTTTACGGCTTTAGTGACAGCTGACCAAATATTTTCCTTGTTCTGTTGATCTGTATTTATTTCAGTTAATTTCTCATAATCACCATTTTCAGCAATTCTTTTAACGCTCACCGTCTTTTTTGTGATTACAAATTTAAACTGTAACTCGGTTTCTTCATCCGTAGAACGTAACACTGACGTGAGGCAGGTTTGAAGCGTTCCCGCAATATTTGCACTTAAAGCTGTTATTGCGTTGTTGATCGGCTGAGCAGGGGAGTCGGTGCAGGTTTTGAATAATTCATTTGATTCTTTAGATTGGCTTCCCGATTCAACGATCGGGCTATCGTCTTTGAAACTTATTGCTCTAGCTGGAATATTATGATCTCCAGCAGGCGGTGTATCTTCCAAATCCTTCTCTTTATCCTTAGTGTTTACGGGAGTTCTGGCTAATGTCATAGCTTGATTTTCAAATCTGTTTATGAGTGCTTGAAAGCGAGGGTTATACACATATCTCGGTTTCTGTGGGCCGGGTGTTAGCATGCGCTTCGGTTTCCTAAATACTATATAATTCAGAAATCAATTTATTAGTAAACCACTCTTTATACAAATAAAGAAACATGATGATATTTAACATTGTGTGTTTTCTCGTGTCAGATTTCTATTTACTTCTACAAGAATAAGCTAATGTAGATATTAACCCAATGCGAGAATCGAACCCGCGATCCCCTTTATACTAGCATATTCTAGCTAGACGCATTCCATAGCGCGTAAGATATAATAATTCCCTAGCGTCCCAGATTTTAGTTAAATTAAAAAAAAACAACAATTATTATCAATGTAGTCAGTATCAAAAATGTAGACTGATTAATATATTAAAGTATAGATTTTAATTTAGGTAAAAATTGTAAATACAGTTTACCCCTCTTTATTTTTGGCTCCTGGTTGAATACAGTGTCGTCTGCAAATTTGACTTTCTTTGTCTTTATAGATGATTCGTTGGAATTTGAATTTGCGCTGTCCTGGAACGTAACTTGCTTCTCTGTGCTATCTTGGCTACCAAGTTTGAGGCGACTACCAACCACAATAATACTCTTTAATTTTGGACCGGTATTACTATTAGGTTTTGATGCCTGGAAATAATTTAAAAAATATGTTTGAACAATTTTTCGTACATATTCTTTTCAATGATTGATGATTATAAATATGATGATTATTTTATACACAATTATATTTCGCTTTTTCTTTTCTTTATGAGCACAATGAAAAATCACAATGACGGTGATAAATGTAAATATTTTTCACGATGCGGGCTTATGTAACCTTTAACAAAGTTGAACAAGTCAGTAAAGTAAATTAACGAATATAAAAAATCATGATCGATATAAAATACAAAGCTTACATATACGGTTTTTTATACTTCAAATTTCAAAGTTAGAATATCGTTAAAAATATGCGAAATTTGACGCTTAGAAACTGATGCGTAACGCCCAGTATGGCCTACGGAAAAGTCTGCGATATCATGTGTCTATCTTCTAAGGTACGGTCACAATAACTATTTTTATCTATTTAAATCGGACGCACCCAAGCAAAGAGAGGGTAACTCGCTAGTTTTCCCGTAATATTTTAATATAAAAGACTAAGATGAAAATATCGCTTCTAAACTTAACCATCATATATTATAGTTCAATTTATGATACAATATTGTTTAGAAAATCGCAACAAAGTTTCCATCTCAAAGCATAAAGTGTTTTATGAAAAACGCTCATGCATTCTATTTTGTACTAATTGAAAATATAAATCTTTTAAAAAAGAATTTAAGCTTATTTTACTTGATATTTCTTTATGATATACATTATTATATTAGCAGTATTTTGATAAATTAGTAGGTACTAAAATCTTTTGCGTAGACTTACTTCTGCTTCTTGGTCGATACTCTGTGCTGGACTCTCAGTAGTTTCGATCTCTGACAGTGGTGAGTCTGTACCAGAGCCTGGGAATAATGACCAGTTAGGTGTCACCGGATGGGTTGGTGTACTTGTTGTTACCGTTTGCGCTATTTTAAGCGTATGCGGTATATGAGGTGTTGTCATTTCCTTTTCTAAGCCTAAAATTCCATATAAAAATCAAAAGAATATAATATAAAAAATACCACAATGACGTCAAATAATATACGTAAGAATAAAATTAAACATCGTACAATGATTAATTCATAAACAAAGATTTTTCAAAAAATAATAAGTACCTATGAATAAAATTTAAGACGAAGGTCATTAAAAAGTTGCGAGTTCCTATAAAAGATATTAAAAATGCAATTCTGTTTTCGTTTTTATCCCCTCGTTGAGTCAAATTAAAACGAGTGTATTTGAGCGGCAATTTGTGAATTGGAAAAGTTGAGCAATTAAGCTCATCAATAAAGTATAAATAAAAAACGGTGCCCAACTTTTACTTTTAAGGAATAATTATTAAAAGATTATAAATGATTTTGATTCCTTCATTTGATTTACCAATAATTCTTCACAGGACTTTAAAAAGTTTGGTCAAGTATATTAATTATTACTTACTTCCAGCATCATCATGTCTTACAGGCGTTGTTCTATTATTGATCGGTAAATAATTATTTGTTGATAGATCTTCGTTTATTGCATCTTCGTTTACTTCGACAACATTTTGTCTTATTAAATTTACAAATTTGTTAACATGTGGCGTAGCAGCTCGTTGCCTTTTCAATTTTGGAGTTTTATGAGTTATTTCCGGGCAAGGAGTAATTACACTTTGGTCTTGTTGAGTATCTTCATAGTCTGTATCACTAGATTCATAATCAACTAAGTATTTTTTCCGTACGATTGGTGTAATAACTGCTGTCTTTGTTAGATTATTAACTGATACAATTGCTTCAAAATTATCATTAATAGCTTTTTCATATAGGGAATCGAATTTCTCATCTACATTGCTATCTTTTTTGATATCTATTACAGGATCTAGTAATTCAGAAATAGTTGAACATTTATCTATGTCGACTAAATCTTCCATAGTTATGAAAAATTTCTTACACTTTTTGCACTGTAGTGGTAAATGTTCTGAACTAAGATGTTGAATAAAATCTTCATTCAAATCTTGAGGCCTACAAAGGAACCTGTTGCCTCGACAAATAGGACAGTCATAAGTGAGATTATGTGTATTCTGTTCGTGTTTCCAACGGCATCTGCCACAGCAAAATACAAGATGGCACACAATGCAACGGGTCTAGAATTAATAATATATTTTTGTGATTATGATATTCAGTAACATCTATATAAATGTAGATTACGTAGATTTTAAAAACGTTCTTTTAAAAACGTTAATTTTTTTTAAACTTGAATGAGAACAATTTTTTTCTTGAAAAATTAAATCAAAATAATATGTTAGAGACTTCACTTTTGTATATTTATTTTTTAAATACACATCACATATTTTGATACGCTCACAGAGTAGTGGCCTTCTAAAAATATATTCAGAAAATAATTATTAAAACATCATTTTATGAGTGAACATAATATGAAATTGAAAAGAAAAATTTTCATTCTAAAAAAAAGGTTGTAAATGTATTTTAATTGCATCCAACGTTAATATTAAACATGCATCCACGACCTCAGACATCAAATGTCTGTAGCACCCTCAGCTCGCATGTTCCTTACTACTAATTGACTCGTTGACCTATTTGCTATATTCGAATAGGGCTAGGAAACTACGATGATTTTCCTTTAAGAAATTTCCGATCAAGTTAGAAACAAATTATTCAGGGTATATATAACTAGACTGGGAAATATTAGCTAATTCGTCAGTAATTTATTCATAACATCAGTAAGTATTTGTAAGCTGTTCTCCAATTCAGGAGATAATAAAGTGGCTAAATTAAATTCTAAATACATATTTTATAGAGGCAGTGGTAGCCCATTGGTAACGCGCTCGCTTGGGTAACCGCGTGAAGCGGGTTCAAATCCCGGGTCTCGCACCTCTGATATTATCATGTGCGAATCATTTTCAACATAATTACCACTTGTTTTACGGTGAAAGTAAACATCGTTAGAAAACCTGCATGTCTGAGACAACCTCACAAGTTTTCAAAGATATGTGAAAGTCCGCCAACCCGCATTCGGCTAGCATGGTGGACTATGGCCTGATCCCCCTCGTATTGAAGGGAGGCAGTAGGACGTTAAAAAAGGCTGAATACATATTTTATATTATAAGCTTAGATACGATTAGATTTTCAGTGGTTTACATAATTTTTACACTATTTGTAAGTAAAAATCAATCTACACATACATATATTGTATACATTCATATAAGACACTAATTAGAATTGCAAACAACATAAGATTAACATGTTAGAATGCTATTTAGAAGTAAATGATAGCATTCTAGCAAACTTGTCGTGCCCCCGGTCTTAGAAGTGCGATAATACGCTCGTTCGTGACTGCCTCTTAATTGCTCTGATGCAATATTTGTGAGGATTTTAAGTGATTTATCGTCCCTTGTTTTCCTATGGTTTATAGGATTTCGGTTATTTGGGTTAAATTACTTCCGTTATTTATTACGAATTAGTGAAAATGAAGTGAGAGGTCGGTATTTTCTCTCTGTCTAACATAAATATTAAAACGCGTAAAACTAAAAATTGATTATAATACTTCAAAAAATTCATTAAGATAGATATGGTTATATCTAAACATAAAAATCGTATCGGGGTTAAAATCTATACATATAATAAAATTCTAACTGAGTCGGATCTGCACATAAAATATTTTTTAGAAAATCTTATTGAAATAGTTATTATTATCGATACAGATGCCAAATCTATAGTTTTTAGAATTTTTGTCTGTCTGTCTGTCTGGCAACGTATCACGAGAAAACCACTGGACTGATTTTGATGAAATTTGATACAATGTTAGCTGGTTATTAGAAAATATCTCATCTCTGAGAAATCTATATTCATAATCAAAACTTAACTAGGGACGAACCCGAGAGGAGCGAGGATGAGTCGCTAGTGACAAAAATATTTCTTGAAAATTAAAATATTATACTGTCTGGCCATCTTATAGTCTGAGAAAACGAAATACGGAACATGTAATCGAAGCCTCTAGTAAGTTTATTACTTAGTTTAACCGTAACTTAAAGTACTCTCTTACTTTAATTGTACCAGCGAATTTGCCTTTACTTTTTTTAAACTTTAATGATTCTTAGAAGTAGGAATGTTTCTGTTAAGATGGAAGATATGATATTAATATCATAGTGAAATAAAAGTATTTACCAGTAAGTTTAGTTTATTTAAGCTACACAGTTTAAATAAACTAAACTTACTGGAATGGCATAAAGTATACGTATAAATATTATTAACTAAACATTCGCTTTCTTTTGAGCAAGTTCAAATCCCAGTTCTCGCACGTTTGATATATTCATGTGCAAATCATTTCTAACATGATCACCACTTGCCTCTCTGAGAAACCCTAGCAAGTTCTCGAAAGACATATGAAGTCCGCCACCCCGCACTTGGCTAGCGTGGTGGACTATGGCCTGATCCCCTCGTATTGAAGATAGGCCCGTGCCCAGTAGTGGGACGTTAATAAGGGCTAAATACATACATACATACAATTTTAGAAATATTATATTTATAATGTTTATACATATTTCACTATAAAAAAATCTTGTCATAAATATATCGTAAATTGAACAGTATGAATATATTATTATCAAAATAATTTCATACACATAATGACAGTGAGGCCGCAATAATTAATCTATGTTTGCATTGAATGTCGCATGCAAAGTTAAATAAATTATTTACCCGCATATTGCGGTTACAGTTATCCATAATAACATTTTAAGTTCAAATAATTATTAACGATTTTGCTTAAATGAAGAGATATTGAGTTCGAACTCTAAATAGTTTTACATCGAGTATCTAGTTATCTATACATATAATAAAATTCTGAGCCTAATCTGAACATTATTTTTTTTTTAAATCTTATTGAAATAGTCATTATTTTCGATAAAGAGGCAGAATGTATACTTTTTAGAATTTTTGTTTGTCTGTCTGTCTAGGAATGCATCATGAGAAAACCACTGGACTGATTTTGATGAAATTTAGTATGATAATAGCTGGTTAACCGGGTCAACATATAAGATACTTTTTACTGCGAGAAAATATATTTTCATCTCTGAGAAATCAACACTAAACGTTAAAACGTAACTAAGGACGAACCCGACCGGGGTGAGGGTGAGTCTCTAGTTTGGATATATTTTTAGCTCTGCTTCTAAAGGTCTCAGTGTGATTTTAAATAGCCTATATTTTTTTTCTAATTAGGCTATCCTACCCAAGAGATAATCAAACATACAAAAAACTTCATAGTCACCCTTAAACGCTGGATGGATTTTGATTAAAGAAAAGAATAATATATTGTATTACGAGAACGGACGTAAGCTACCCGTTATCCTCACCACACTTATCTTAAAATAATAATAAATTCTATAACCTCAAAATAATCAGTAAGCGTGTCTACTTTGGTTAATACCTATTATATATTTGGATAAAATATTGATTTTGTGCACATGTTTTGCACTTATTATTTCATTAAGTTTTGAAGTTAATTAAGAAAAAACCATTAAAAACTAACTCTCCTATTGAACTAAAATTTCTCTATACAATCACAGATCCATTTATCTATTCCTGCATTAATTAAGGACAATTCAACAAGGACATTTTTGCACTCGCAAAGATAAATTAACGATGAGAATCCCAAGAGTACATAAAGATCTAGGTAGCTGAGTAATTAAACTATAATCCGCTTTGCCACTATAATTCCACTGCAATCGATCAAGGTATCTGATTTAAGGAAGTTGTGGTAGAGCAAACCTTTAAAGCATCTTTAAATCTTCTTTAACGCCCTTTAACGCTGAACAGGTATCCGGTAAGATGTATTGGACAAATGTTTGTTTCGTGCAAGAATCAAACCCGTGACTTACAGCACAAAACTGCAGTTATTAAAAAGCGTAAAATGGGTGCAATATAATATTCTGACTTTCTAATGTGATACTTGTTATTTTGATGAGTTTAAAATGGAAAAGCTAAATTTTGAGAAATAATATGTTTTGTGACATACAGGAGACAAAAAACGAGACATTCATCTAATCTTTAATTTTAAAAAGGGGTAATGTTTGTAAGTTTCTATTAGCCCCACATACGAACTTATAATCTAATTTACTGATCCGATTATGTAGGAAGCTATACCGTCGAGAGGAATGAGTTATTTTTTCAGCTATTGATAACTATTGAAGCACGCAATAACTTGCTAGTTAATTAATAGATAAATATGTTGAGACATTATTAAATTAACACACATCTAGTTCCATGGTAAGCTACGAGGCTTGTGTTATGGGTATCAGATAGATGATATACTACACATATATAATACATACATATTATAAATATAAACCCATGACTGGAGTACAAGTATTCGTGCTCATCACACAAATGAATGCCCCCGACGTTACTCAAACCCGTGACCGCTGGCACAGCAAATAGGGTCACTACAAACTGAGCCAAACGTGTCGTCAAAAATACATAATTATAGTTTAAAAAAACTCAAAGATGCACGATTTTGTTCAATTTTAAAGTTTCCTAATCATATCTGTTCACATCTAGATCTGGTTATAAAATGAAACTTGATTTTATTAAGCTACTCTCATTTGGATTTCGCATACTTCCAACATTTAATTATAACGTACCTTAGTAACACATGAAACTAAAACAGCGTTAATAATAACATCCATACTAATATTATAAATGTGAAAGTGTGTTTGTTTGTTTGTTTGTTTTTCTTTCTTTCACGTTGAAACGGCTTGGCGGATTGGCGCGATTTTTTGTCTGGAGATAGTTGCTGGAGAGTGACATGAACTACTTTTTACCACGGGATATTATCTCTTTCCCACGGGAAAACACGTTATAATACAATCCAAAAAAATATTTATGATCAGAATTACTTGAAACTTGGTATAAATGCTCTTCAATACAATTAATTAAATACGTCTTTTAAATTTTTTCGAAATTAATCCCATAAGGGGGTAAAATAGCGGATGAAAGTTTGTATGAAAACTACCATTTTAGTTATTTTTGTAGTTTTAGCGCGAGCGAAGTCGCGGGTATTGCTAGTTTAGTCAATAAATATTTAAAACGCTTTAACTAAAATGATATTTTCCTCGAAAAATATAGTAAATTTTTTACATATTTTTTAAGGAAAAAATCAGGTTATTTCATTAAACGTATCCTCTTTCACTTCATATTTCTGTGGACTTCTCTTAGAATTTGAATATAGGTCGTATGCAATGTGCTCTTTAGCACATCTGAATTTGCTTAGCAAGTAGCTTTGGTACTAATGAACGTTCGCCTCAAGCGAATTTACTATATAGCTACTATCTATGTATCTTGTTAATGAGAGAGAAAAACTAAAAGTTTCTTAAAAATATAGGTGCATTCTAAAGCTTTTCATTTATTATTAACAGTCAATTTGATGGACCATCATAGGCCATTTTTTAATATAATGATAGACTAAATTTTAAACTTGTGTTATTACAAACTAAAGTATATGTATTGTATTCAGCCTTTTTTTCAACGTCCCACTGCTAGGTACGGGCTTCCCTTCAATATGAGGAGGATCAAATCATACATAGTCATAGTCTAACACGCTGGCTAAGTTCATACTAATCTATATTTATACATATAATAAAAGTATAACTGATCGCTGTCTGTATATGGAAGATATTTGAGAAAAACTATTATTGGGGATCTTTGTTAACGTAATAGAACCCAAAACATTGATTTTTAGTTTTTTTGTTCGTCTGTACGTTTATGCGCGCTAATCTCAGAAATAGCTTAACCGATTTGAATGCGGTTTTCACTAATATATTGTGGTAAGCTTCACTTAATATTTAGTATAACTCTTATTTCAATCTGTTCATAAATGTTATGTTAATTTAAAGAATCACTTAGGGAGGAACCCGAGCAAAGCGGAGGTGAGTCGCTAGTATATTATAATATAAATATAATGAAATAAAAAAATATATTTCACGTTATATATGACGTCACTTGCCTACAAAAGATAAGCGTTTAAATATCGGTATTTTATATCAATTTATTATAAAATATCTTTAATTCACTAAAATTCAAATAAAAATAATAATAGAATAACAGAATAAGGAAGTTCAAACGCGATTATGACTAGTGGACGGAATAGCTCGGCAAAAAGCGAAAACGTGTTTTGGTCAACCGCATTACTCTAAGTGTATTTTCTCATGACATCTAGGAAATGTAGAAAATGCTATCAGCAACTAAAGTATAATATTATACTGATTGTAAAACTCACTTAACGTATTTAAAGTACATTTATAAATGTATTTTTTGATATTTTGGATATTTTACAGGACTATTAACGGAGATTTGTGAAATAATCTGAAGAGAGGCTATTGATTTTGACCTTTAGAATAAAAAAAAAACAGACTAAAATTTATGCGGAAATGACAATCTGTCTTGAACTTAACAGTTAATTAACACTTAGATAATAATGTTATTCTTATATCTATACTAATATTATAAAGAGGCAGTTTGTTGGTTTCTTTGTTTGTTTATTTGTTCGTTTGTTTATTTGTTTGAACGTACTAATCACAGGAACTACTAATCTAAATTGAAAAATTCTTTTTGCATTAGATAGCCTGTTTATTGAACAAGACTATTGGCTATAAATCATACTAGCTAGTCACCCTCGCTTCGCTCTTACGCTCCTCCTCACCCTCGCTTCCCCATACAAACTTTCATCCCCATTTTCATCCTCTTAAAGGATGATTTCCGGGATAAAAAGTATCCTATGTCTTTTTCAGGGTCTCAAACCATCTTCTTGCCAAATTTCATCTAAATCGATTCAGTAGATCCAGAGATTACCCCCAACAGCGTCACAAACTCACAATTCACAAACTCACAAACTTTACCTCTTTATATTATTAGTATAAATAATTATATATAGTCTATCTATTCCATACTAACTGTTAAACGTATCTAGCGACGAACCCAAGCGAATCGACGGTGAGTCGCTAGTCAATATATAAAGAGGACCTAACCAAAGACCGATTTTTCCACCACCCCTACTATATAGCAAATAGAATACCCGAGCAACATCACATGCTAAAGCTAGTAATAGTATAAAAGAGAAGCTACCTATTAATGATTTTTGTATAACTGTAATTTTTTATCTGTGCAATATGCATCTTTCATTGTTTTTATGAATGATTTTTCTGATGTAGAATATTTATTCAAGCTATTCAATTTGCTACAACAAATTATATTTTATTGTTGTATTTTATTAATTTAGTAAAACGCTGTAATTTTGACATTACAAACAGATATTTCAAATTTATTTATCTGTATAGATGTATAGATAAAATAACAAAAAAAGTTATAATTTTATTATTAGTGGTAAATACACAAAAATCCTGCATTGAATAAAAATTTTATTTTTAGCGTCAATGAGCTTTCTCTTTACTCTCTAGTCGATAGTGAAAGCGATAAGACGAGGTTATCTATACATATTTTTAGGTGAAAACAAACTTATTTATTAAAAAAAAGACACAAAACCGAACACTTAACTTCTATTTATTAATAATTTGACAACTCGAACAATTATCACGAAATTAACCTTAACCACTAACTAAATAAGAAAAACACAAACATAAGAATTGCAATTTAAATTAACCAAGCAATCAACCGTTAATTTGAATATAAAAATAGTATACGCGCTCGTCATGAAACAACGACCTATCGTTTCGAAAGCCGAGAAGTAAATGAGCTCTGAGCGGGTAGGAAACTACTTTTATTAACGCTGTTGCATGACGTCACGAAACATATTAAAATTATCGAGATTATGCTGATACGGCCTCTCCTGACCGTGCGCCGTCCCCGGTGCACATTTTCACCACGAGCGCTGGCTAGTCAGTGGATATTGATGAGGACTCGATCTTGCCGTCTCCAGGTGGATCTCCTGGGGGAGCAGTAGCGGGAGCCGTCGAAGGCCCAGGTTGATTATCATCACGTTCATCTTCTGTAGCAGACTCTGTTCACGAGAAATACATAACAAAATATGAGTTTAATAAACAGTTGGCAAAGAACTGCCTATTCTTTCATACTTCCCGCTCTCAAGGCCCTCATTCAATTATTCACACATGTTAAAGTTTTAAGAAAACCTTTCGATCAGTTACAACTTCACCAATCGTTCAATCGTCTTCATTCATTTTCTATCAACTCATTTTATAAAAGCGAACGCGCGTTACATGCAACCTACAGACACGCTACATTTAGTAACGTGTCCGTCGGACCAAGATCTGCACGCATAACCACTTTGCGTCTGCCGGACATGTGCCGTGTACGTATACGCTCTAATCAGACCAAGGACCGTGCACATAAATGTGCCAGCTGGACAAGGTCCGTGAACGTTCAACAAGGCCTCGGGCCCAAAACCAGACTAGAGTCTGCACACATTATGAAATATGAAAGCTGAACCAAGGTCTGCACGCATAACCACTTTGCGTCTGCCGGACATTTGCCGTGTACGTTCATAAAGAAACGCTCTAATCAGACCAGGGCCCGCTACGCACTAAATGTGTCAGATAAAACCGTATCACACATTGGAGATCATACACTCCAGACACCAGACATACGTAAGGCAGCCGTTGCCTATAGTACATCTGAAACATAACAGAACATTAAAAATGTTAAACAGTTTACCATCGAAAAATGCTGCACAGGACTCGGGACACCATTCTCCTTTCCACGGCAACATGTACTGTGCTGCGGCTTGAGTGGTCTTCCCACGGGCACCACTCAACAGTTTCAGTTCATAACGGTCACTCGGTAAAGCTCTCGTGACTCTGTATGGTCCTCTCATACCCGAGTCAAGTTTGCCTGTGGACTGTGACATTTTAATGACAAACACCAAGTCGCCAACAGCAAATACTCTAGGAGGGTGTCGGTGACGGTTAACCTGGGCATCCTGCTTGGCTTGGTTTCGACTCAGCAGGCTCGCGGCTCGACTCCGACTTAATTCTCGTCTCTGCATCACAATTAGGTTCAGCTATATCCACAGCCACATCTCGAATCAGCGCACGGATCACGGGAGTGGTCGCATCAGTACCAATTAACAAATTCATGGCAGATGATTGAGTGGTTTTTTTGCTTAGTAATGTTTAGTACAAGCTGAATCTTACTAATCGAATTTGACCAAGCAACATCCTTGTTGCGACTTTCAACGCGAATTAAATTTAAAACCGTCCTTATATAACGCTCGGCCTGCCCATTAGCGTGGTGCATTTCGGGCGTTATATAATGAATGTCACAGCCGAGTTCAGACAGCCAACTTTTAAAGCTAGATGCCTCAAACATACGCCCGCGATCGCATACTAGAAGTTTAGGTACACCGAACAAGGATATTGCGTTATTAATAGTGCGTTTAAGTTCACTGGTATCCTGACGGTACAAAGGATATAACAAGCAGAATTTTGTAAATGAATCTACTAACACTAATACAAACTTGTATCCGTTCGACTCGGGTAAAGGCCCGAGAGCGTCTACATGAACAGTACTAAATGGAACATTTGGTTTTTCCCAAGATGTTATTGGCTGTTCTGGGGCTCGAGGGACTCTTTTCTTGGAGATACAAATTAGACAGTGAGAAATGTATTTATGAACAAAAACTTTAAGGCCGGGAAACCAAAAGTGTTTCAGTATGAGATCATATGTCTTGTCCTCTCCTATGTGTTGGTGTTCATCATGAAAGACACGAAGAACACTTAAGCGATGACCCTTAGGAATATAACACAAAAGCCTAGATTCCTGCCCGACTGGAGTGTACCGATAATATAAAACATCGTTCTTACAGACATAGCGAGTTGAATCTAAATGCCCTTCATTAACCTTTTGTATAAGTTCTAAGGTTTCACTATCAGCAGCTTGAGCCATCTGCGCCCAGTTTAATGGCCTGTCAACGTAATTTACTTGCGCTACTGGTGGGTTTCTACTTAGATAATCGGCATGAGACATCATAACGCCCTTCCTATATTCGATAGTGAAGTTAAAGTCTTGTAAGTAGATCCACCATCGCGCGACCCGTGGCAGTAAATCTTTTTTCTTTTCGGTGGCCTTCAAAGCATTACAATCAGTAATGATCTTAAATTGAATACCGATTAAATAATGCCTGTAATGTTGTAATGCTTTGACGACCGCCAATGTCTCTAACTCATAGGAATGATAGCGGCTTTCCGCTCCCAGGGTCACCCTACTGTAGTAAGCTACCACCCTTTTGCTACCATCCCCATGAACCTGCATTAATACCGCCCCATAACCTGCGCTACTCGCGTCCGTATGCAACTCTGTAACTAACTGTGGATCGAATATAGCAAGTATAGGTTCATTCGTAAGCTGGCTAATTAAATACTGACGAACCCGTTCCTGTTCTTCACCCCATTCAAACTTTACGTTCTTTTTAGTTAATTTGGAAATACTTGCAGTTTTCGTTGCATAGTCTTTTATATATCGACGAAAGTAACCGGCTAGCCCCAAGAACTGTCTAACCTGCCTAACATTATTTGGTGTAGGTGCGTTCACCAAAGCTGCTATTTTCTGAGGGTTCGGCCTAACCTGACCATGACTAATACTTCTACCCAAATATTCTACTTCTGTAGTCAAAAACGAGCACTTTCGAAGGTTTATCGAAAATCCTGCATCGGTAAGTGTTGTCAGTACATCATGAAGTAAGTTGACACCTTCAGGAATAGACATGCTCATTAAAAGTACATCATCAATATACACAAGTACACTTCCGGCATCGATAAATCTTCGAAGGGTGTCATTTATTATTCTTTGATAAACTGTAGGTGAGTTACAAAGTCCAAATGGCATTTTAAGAAACTCGTAATGTCCCTCGGGTGTAACGAACCCCGTTAAGTGTGTACATTCGTCGCTAATTGGGATTTGATAAAATCCTGACGCCATATCTAGGCAACTAAAGTATTTAGACCCCCCAAGACGATCTATATGGTCCTCTATAAGCGGAAGCGGATAACGATCTTTTATAGTTATTCGATTTAACGCACGAAAGTCAACGCACATGCGATCCGTACCATCCTTTTTCTTAACAAGGATGATAGGGCTCGCATATGCAGAAGTCGATACCTTAATTATATTTTTGTCCAATAAATCTTTTATTAATTCGCGGACTTTTAATTTCTCTTGATGAGACAACCGATAAGGGTGATATGCAATAGGAACCTGGCTAGTTAATTTAATTTGCATCTTGCCTGTCTTCACTGTGGAAGTGGCAGTGCCAGATATCAAAAACGGCGTGAACTTATCAATTACAATCTTTAATGAATTAAAATCGGAACCTTGAAGAGATGAATTGATTTTAACAGCTTCAGTCTCAACAGAGTTAACTATATTAGAATTCGGAGTATGCATCAAATACTGACCGTACTTTGATCGAACATAAATAATTCCCTCTCTATCGAGGACGTCCGTGCCTATAATTATTGAAGTGTTCATACACGTATCGGGAACGATCACGAAATCAATCTCAAGAGCGATTTTACAAAATTCAACAACAAGGGTAACAAATTCCTGAGCGACAATAGTCTGTTTACCTATACCCTTCAATACGCAATTAATTGGCTTACGTTGGCAACTAAAATACTTAACAGTGTCCGATGACATTAAGGAAATATTAAGCGCTCCGCTGTCTATCAAAACGTCTACAGGTATACCCTGTATTACCGCAGTACTAATGTCCCCAACTTCCCGACCACTAGTTACTTGTTTACATAGGTTAACATTTCTGTGATTACTGCCCTGAGTAAGAGCCCTAGATTTCGCAAAACAGACATTCTCCGTATGACCTATCTTTTTACAAAATGAGCAAGTCGGTTTCGATCCCTCATTGTCTACCTTATGTTTCCGTTTATCATCAACGGTTCTCTTTCGACATTCATTACGCATATGACCTAATTTACCACAACCGTGACACTTAAGTCGGCGAGTATCGGAACTGTTAGTAAAACTATTAGTAGCCCTACGACCCTCGTATTTTAAGTTCGGTTTAGGTTTAACATAAATAGCCAAAAACGGTACTAAATTATCTACGGTCAGATTGGCATTTATAGCAGCTGCCCTAACCTGCGCGTTGTTAATTCCACGGAGAACTATTTGGACCATAAGATCTTCGCTTACCCCCTTTACAATACGTAATCGCAATAAAGATCTACGCGCGTATTCGGCGTACGTCGAAAACCTATCAGAATTTGTGCTCATAACCTCGTAGAGTATATTCGCGTAATCTAGCTGATGCGGACACAATGACCTAAACTCTCTACAGAAATTGGACCACGAACGATCATTACTGGTCCATTCGTTTAACCAAATCTTGGCATCGCCCTTTAAACAATTAGCGACTCGCGATAAGCACTCTAAATCGTCCCAATTATTAATTTGCTTCGCCCTATTTACTTCACTACACCACACTTCAAAATCGTGCACAGCCGGATCAAAATTCGACACATAATATCCCTGCGGCTTCGTTCGGGTAATGGCAAGCAATGCTTCCGTAAACGCTTGAGCAGTGCTCGTGGACGCGTCGCTTTCCACTACAGGTACGCTACCGTGATCAGTTTGTAACGAATTTCGTGACGAGTTGACTGTCGATTGCTCGATAGCAGACAGACGAGTCATAATCGCATCTAACGTACGTTTAATCGAATTACTACCACTGCGCGAACGAGATCTACCCGAAACTAATGAATACTCACTGTTACCGCGTGATATCCGCTCACGATTCTCCGAACACAGCCTGCGCGGTCGCCGAGAACGTTCAGTACTTTGACGCGATACTCGCTCGCGACGATTGTGCACACGTTTGTTACGACGCGATCTGCTGCGAGATCGTCTTTCACTAAAGGGAGAACCTACTGACCTACTACGCGAACGAGATAACCTTTTATCGTCAGATTCACTTCGCGATCTATGACGGCGGCGAGTTGCCCGTGACGGCCTATTGCGCGTTTGTTCGTTCCTCAACGATTTACCGCGGGACTGTCTATCTACACGGCTAGGAGTTCTACCCGATCGACTACGTGAACGCGAACGGCCCGATCGTGAACGCGGCATGACGATTTCAAATTAACGGCTGTTTGCTTATGAAGTGGTGTCGTAAGGATCTATCCCACTTCTGATTTTAGGTGAAAACAAACTTATTTATTAAAAAAAAGACACAAAACCGAACACTTAACTTCTATTTATTAATAATTTGACAACTCGAACAATTATCACGAAATTAACCTTAACCACTAACTAAATAAGAAAAACACAAACATAAGAATTGCAATTTAAATTAACCAAGCAATCAACCGTTAATTTGAATATAAAAATAGTATACGCGCTCGTCATGAAACAACGACCTATCGTTTCGAAAGCCGAGAAGTAAATGAGCTCTGAGCGGGTAGGAAACTACTTTTATTAACGCTGTTGCATGACGTCACGAAACATATTAAAATTATCGAGATTATGCTGATAATATAATAAAAAAGTAACTAATCGCTGTCTGTACATGAAAAATATTTGAGAAAAACTAACTTATAGAGGGTCTTTATTAACGCAATGGAACCCAAAACAATGATTTTTCGAATTTTTGTCTGTTTGTCTATATGTCTGACCGTTTGTACGTACTAATCGCAGTTTATTGTGGTAAGCTTCACTTAACATTCAGTATTTGCAGTTGCAGTTTATTTTAATCGGTTCATAAATAAAAAAGTTATTACAATTTAAAGAATCATCTAAGCACGAGAGAAACGAGGGTGAGTCGCTAGTGTATAAATAAATATAAAAATAACTTATGGCGAAGCAACTTTTCGAACACTTTTCAACTATTAAGGGTTATTTACAGGACGAATTTCATATTTCGAAGCGTGAAACTCGAAAAATAAAAGTAATATTGTAAATTATACCGTATGTGGTAATAGATAGGGCATAGTTTATATTGCGTAAGTTTTTTATATTCCTTCGATATTGGTTTCTTCGAGGTGAGAAACTCCGTCTGCCTAAATATAGTATCGATTGTATTTATAAGGGAGCCCGTTTTAAGTAATTCCACTTAGATCTTCTTCGGCAAAATTTACTTCCTTATTTTTTTAAACTAGTGTTCGTCTAATGGCCGATATTCAATCATAACCATTATTCAAAATGTAAGGAAAATATATATGAATAGATTTTATCTATTTATATATAAAAAACTAATTATTTCCAATTTTTTTGATTGATAACACTAAAGCATGTTATTAGATACAAAACATTAATATGTTATTTATATATCAATATGAACATAAGTAATAAATATTATATATTTAGTTATAAGAATGATTAAAAATGTTATTGGCTTTAATTTGAAATTATTTTCGAGCTTTCGTACAAGTTAAAGTAAAAAAAATAGTAATTGAGCGTTACAAAATATGATTAGTGTTGATTTTAGATACTTATATCGAATAATTTATTAAATGACCTTTTCTACGAGTACTATCCAAAAAATACCTATGTAGTAAGTACTTGTTAATATAAAAACGTTTGAAATAAAACTATCTTTTCGGATTTTTTCGCGGGCTTATTTAGATTTTTAGTTTACGACGTTTCAAATTTTTTACAGCAATCATTCTTAAGAGAGAAAATCAGTCTCTCGTGAGCATCGAAATGATAGTTTTATCTAAAATGTAAAATATTCACGGAAATCTAAGAAAATCTTCTGTAAAAAGAAAATCTGGGGTATATCAATTGGGAAAACCCAAAAGAACAGGTGGAAAATAGAATAGTTCAGAACTGTTTATTTTGTATTGGAATCACTAACCGTTAAAACGTACCTAGGGGCCTAGGGACGAACCTGAACGAAGCAAAGGTAAGTCGCTAGTATATAATATAAAAATAAATATAACTGTCTGTCTGTTAGAACTGTCGTTCGTTAGTAACACAATATACATATGTACATAGAAAACGTAACTTAAATCATAAAAATAATTAGTAATATAAACGATTTACCTCAACCGAACTCTTCATGGTGATCGAGCATATCATATAATAACCATCACAATGCTTTATTACACAAGTAATCACTAAGTAATATTTTATGGTATTTATTATAAACGTAATTAAATTCGTATACTTTATAATTTTAACAACGATCGTAGCATAACGGTATAAATTTTGAACTACCCTTCATTTCGTATAATCCTCTTGTTAACTTGCCAGGTGTAAAAATATTATTCCTCAATTATTATTTACAGCTTTACTTAGCTTTATCTAGCTTAATTATTATTTACAGCTTTTTATATAAAAATCACTGTTCTTTGGTTTAAAGTTTTGTAAAAGTGATTATCTGACTAAATATTTGTTTGGTACTTTAAATAAAACTATCTTTTCGGATTATTTCGTGGATTTATTTAGATTTTTGGTTCCCGACGTTTCGAATGCTTTACAGCAATCATGGTCACGAGAGAAACTAAGGTTTTAAAAAAAAAAATATTATCAGTACATACAGGTAGTGATGTGGGACTCACCGGCTAGAAAAGCCAGTACTACCCAGTAAAACCCAACAGAACCTCCCCCGTTTTAATTACATATTACATAGCTCAATTTTTTTTTACAAAATTCTAAACTTCGTGGCGAAATACTGTCTCAGTGTATATAGCCTTTTAATAATGTTCTAATTAGCTTAAAGGTGTACGTTAAATATTTTATTATATAAACATTAATTTATGTTTGGGTGACGGACATTTTAAGTTTATTTGGAAAATAAAAACTAAATCATTTCTTTTTTAATTTTTGACTGTGTTTAATTGCGCAATGTGCATTATTCATAGTTTAGCATTCGCAGTTATTTAGATAGATGTAGATAATTTTATTTCATCCAAATTGAAGATACAGAGAATTAGTTTAAATATCATTTCTGGTCTCCCTCTTAACCAATTTCGGTCACAATGGCCAATCTCAATAAGACTAGACAACTGCGCAGGAGATAGTGTAGTGCACAAGTATTGGTACAAGTGCATACTCTATCTAACATAACCTAATATGAACACATGACAATGTACATAAAACAATCTGTGTATGGATATGTAACAAACTGTTACGAGTAGTGACAGTTATTCTCTCGACGATACCTGTAGCTACCGTCTGATTATATTTTGTGCTATGGTCACGAAATCAGCGTAAGCATCATTTATGTATTAGATTTATTTTTTTATGTTTATTAACTTGCCTTATGGCAGAGAAAAATTTCGTGAGGAAACTTACAAGAGAACTTAGCAAGATTTTGAAGGATCTCCGCCACAGGATGTGAAGTCCGCTAACCCATTTGGCCAGCGTGGTGGACTACGGCTTAATCTCCGTAGTATTGAAGAGAGGCCCGTGCCCAGCAGTGGGAAGTTAAAAGGGCTACATACAAGTCATTGAAATTTTATTTGTTTTTCTGATCTCACGATCTAGCTGCACTTAAGCCATGTATAAATTTATAGAAACCAAAATGAATTGTGGACTGGCTACGTAGTAGTATCTACACCAAAGACCTGCGTAACTGTCTCAGTCACGAGGCCTTAACGTATTAATAGGTTAAAAACAAACAAACATTAAACAAAATACACAGAATATTTATATAAAAAGAAGTTAGAAGAAGATGCAGTTAGACCAGCGACATCTTAAAAGTATGAGGTGAATAAATAAAAATTAATTATAATTTTTATATGAACCCAAGACCTTAGGGCTAAATACGCAGTGCAGTGCGTCACTATGCTAAGAATGTTATCTTAATTTAAAATCTATTGTAATATCAAATAATTTGAACATATATTTTAACTGTACATATGGATTTTTGCTGCTATGGATTTTTTAAATATTACCTTTTATTTTACCGACGCCTGCAATTTAGTGGCCACACCTTGTTATTATACATGCAAAGCCGTCCCGAGTGTCCACATTAAAACTTGGTGATAGAAATGTCAGACTATTTTGAATACATATATAACTTATTATTCTATCTTTAATAGGATAAGCGTTGATGGACACATAGAAAACGATTTTACTTTGATGACGTAATCTTATTATACTAATTTAATGAATGAAAAGCTTGTGAGTTTGTATGGGTATGGATATATCATGTGTTGCCTACACTTTCACATAGAAACTACTGAATGGATTTTGATGAAACTTTACAGTAATATGTGTTATACATTAGAGTAATAAATAGGCTATAATTTATAAAGATATCCATACTAATATTATAAATGTGAAAGTGTATTTGTTTGTTTGTTCGTTCGTTTGTTTGTTCGTTTGTCCTACTTTCACGTTGAAACAGACAGAGTGACGGATTATTTCATTCTCACGAGTAAACACGTTATAACGCAACCCGAAAAATAATTTATGATTTGAGTTACCTGAAACTTAGTATTAATGCTGTTCAACACAATTAAAAGAATACCCGTTTTAGCATTTTTTGAAACGCATTCCATAAGGGGGTAAAATAGGGAATGAAAGTTTGTATGGAATCTACTTTTTTAGTTTTTTTTGTAGTTTTAGCGCGAGGAAAGCCGTGGGTTCTGCTAGTTTATTATATTTCAGAAATCATTTATTTCGAATTGAAATGTAATAATTGTCTGACAAAGTACAACTAGGAGTTGATAAAATTTTGGCAGGCTATTTACAGATAGTTAAAAACTATATTTTTTTTAATTTAAATCTGTACTTTGATGTGTTTATTTTTGATGAAGCTGTCACAATATTCATGTTGCTTTTTATATTTTAATAAATCATAGTACTTTGCGAAAAACTTAAATATTTGTATCATAGGTTAACGGTAAAATATATTATGTAAGTATTCTAGTACTGTTTTTTACTGGCTTAATACGTTTATCTATTAAATTTATTATGGTATACAATGACATAATTTTTAGTTATGTTATACGAGTATACATATTTCAACTAATTTTAACGACAGATTTGGATCAGTTTGTTGTAACCCTACTTGCTGTACCAGCGGTCGCGTGTTCGATTCCCGCTGGGGGTATTCATTTGTGTGATGAGCACGAATGTTTGTACTCCAGTCATGGGTGTTTATATTTATAATACATATA